CACACACACACACACACACACACACACACACACACACACACACACACACACACACAGCAACACATGCACGCCTGCACGTCTGCCTGTGAGCATCAAGCTGTTTTGGTAAAGCCCACAGACTTACAGGACGAGGCAGCAAACGTTCGAAAGGGTAATGTAAAGCTGCATATGGTCTTTGTATTAATTGTCAATAAGGTCAAGATAAGGTAGTGTGCCCTTCGCTTATGTATCCAAGCATGGATCCCTGTACAGCAGAGTCAAAGGATAAAGAAGAAGAGGCAACGAAGTGAACGAATGCTACCACTACATTACATATTTCCATCCAGTTATATTTTTATGAATGCCATTATGTATCGCTGTAGCTGTCCGTCGCCGAAGGGCCCACCGACGACCCACGGCACCCGATCGGGCGGTCCTAGCGCCCCTAACCCTGTCGGGTCCCCCGACGGGAGCCCTCCGGGCCCCGTCGGGGGCTCCCAATGGCCGTTTGGCATTTTCCCCCTTTTTCGTCGGGTCCGCCCGAAAGCATTTTTCAAAGCCTGTCGGGATTTTCAGCACAAGTGCCATTCCTGTCGGGACCCGATCGGACTGTCGCACACTGCTCTGCACCGAATCAGTTCTTAAGGGATCCTAGGACCATTTCCTAGTTGAATGTTGCCTGATCCCATGGGGCTACATCGCCGGAGGTGATCCTTTAGCCTACAAGAATCTATGTCACTATGTACGCAGACGACGACCGATGATCGACAACAAGAGTCGTTGAAAACCGTTACTTTATGTACGGATGCCAACCTCCAATCAGAATCCTTGAATGTCACTCGCAAACAATCTGCGCTTCAGGTTGGGTGCTGATGGAAGCAACTGCTTAAAAAGCTGGCGCCGCGGAACCTGTCAAGGTTACTTTAAGGCTCACTTTTACCGCTCTTAGGACACGAGAAGTTAAAACAACTGATGTTTTCTGCTTACTGCGGCAATATGAAGGATTGAGTGCAGGAGCCATCATCACAGTTCGCTGTATCGCTCGCGAAATCCCGTAGCAGCTTTATCGATCATAATTGATTATTGAATTATTGCTAAGCAGGATATAGAGACATGGGTCAGGTCAGGAGGACATGTTTTGTTTCGCCTGTGCGATGCAACTTGTCAGGATTTTCAGCGGACGTTTTGCCAACTGCAGGCTGCAAGTGGAGGATTAACACAAGGAGATGTCGATGAAGTCATTGCTGCTTCGAAGGGTGTATGTAAGTCAGTGTTTTGGTTCCTGGTTTTCATGACACCTTATCACCGCGTCCATCGGCATGGTGACATGCGCAACTGTTTTGCCCCAGTCAATCAAGCAGAGATTGAGGCCCTCTACAAGCGGTTCCGCGCGTTAGACCGGGGACACAAAGGCTACATTTCCCCGGAAGAGTTCCTCAGCATCCCAGAGCTCAGCATTAACCCCGTCGCGCAACGATTGGTCCGCTACTGCGAATGCCCCAACTTCACGACCTTCGTTGAAATGGTGGCGCCGTTCAGTCCACGTGCCTCCCGCGAGGACAAGCTCGCCTTCATGTTCGCAGTGTATGACGTAGATGGCGATGGTGAGCCGTAGGGCCCCGAAAAGGCAACATTGTGGGCCATACCATGACCCGCAAGAACATGACAGATGTTACACCCCATCCCATCATGTCTCAGATTACCAGGTAGTCTTTTTCACGATTAAGGGGATTACGTGCCACCACCGTTGCGGAGCCACTAGCTGGCTATGTACACATATGTCCATTGCCCTCGATGGGCAGCTCATCCCTCCATCACCCCGTACATCATCGGGGCCATTGCAGTGGACGCGTTGCTTGGATTGAAACCCTAAGCCCCTCCTCATTTCCTTGCCTCCCTTACCTTCCGCTGATGCCATGGGCTCCAGGCTCCCTGGACTTCTGCTGTTTATTTTCCTTGTATCTTATACCAATATGTTATTTTGTACATATCAAATTTTTACAGTGCTTAGGGTTTTTAGTGCGACATTCTTCCCCCACGTCCCCTCCGCTGCCGCCGCCACTGATACCGCTGCCACCAAGCAGTCCGTATGCCCCAGCCCCACCGGCTTTTACGGAGCCCCTTCCACTAGTTGACCTCAACTTGTAAACCCTGTAACTAAGGTCATATCATTGAAACTGATGACAATATTAATGACAATATTAATATAGCGGGATCAGTTAATATTATACTTAATATAATAAAAATTCGCCATTCTCGACGCATGATGTCCTCATCACAGGCTTCATTTCCCGCGAGGACATGAGCATGATGTTGAAGCAGCTGGCAGGGAGCACTCTTAGTGAGGAGGACCGACAAGATATTATCGGGCGGGTGCTAGTGCTGGCGGGCGGCGCTGATCGACTTGACTATGCGGCCTTCCAGACAGCTCTGAGCGGTGCGGATCTGGCTAAAATGGTGGTGGAGGTGCCCGTGGACTTGTAGAGACGTGGCTGTGATGCAGCACATAACGGAGGTGGCGTGTCCTAATGTGGATTCTTCTTTGCCGGGTTACTGTGGTATACCAAGTCCTCTGCCACAGGCTATGGCGCAATGAATGGCGGGATGAGGTGACCCTCCGGAGCACTCGAACACTGTTGATCTTTGTTGGGGTTGTATTGATTGTGGTGTAACGGTGGACGTGGTGATTGAGACTCTCGCTGTGTGGGTAGGGGATGAAGAACAATAAGGGGAACCCATCCCTGGTCATGGAGGCTGTGATAAGTCACATTCACGAGTATCACGCACAAGTATCACGTCCCTGGTGAGGAGATGGAAATGGTGATGGTGGTGGTAGGATGGTGATGTGGTGGTAGGGTCTGTGGGGTAATGGGGCCGCGGCCATCCCCATGTGGTGCTGTCTGCTGAGAAAGGGCGGCTCCGGCTGCGATGTCGGCACCTGCTGGCTCGTCCGTGTACCTGTGGCCGCTGTCGAAGTCCCTTTATGTACCGCTGCCGCTGTATGGGTGGAGAGCTCTGGTGGAACAGTGTTGTGTGGGGGAGGTAGGGGGTTGGGTGGGTGGGTGGGTTGCCTTCTGTGTGTGTTTTTCTCTCCTGGTGTAGCCGCGTAGCCTGGCGTGCGGTGTAAGCGGCATGCGTCTCCACGGCGGCTAGTGCATTTGCACGGCTGTGTTCCTGCCTGAGGCCGTAAGAGCCCTTGTGCCGCCTGATCGGCGCCCAACGCATTTGGGGAGGGCACGTATGGACAGGAAGGGACTCGCATGCAGCAAAATGTAAGGCAAGGAGAGCGAATGCAAGGCAAGGTGGAGAGGAGGGATTGGCTGAATGGTGTGTCTCCAAAAGCCCTACGTTTCGTTTTGCAGAGCTGTCGTGCGGCCGGTAGTTGGTAGTTGGGAGAGAAGGTCCCGTGCAACGCACGCTGTGGGGTTGGGGGCTGCGTGTAATGAAGCCCGCCGAAGACGCGAAGGGACGAAGGTGAAGAAATCGAGTGAGTGAATAAATCGCGGGATGAAGACATCATAAGACTATGCGGGTGGGCCCCTGAGCGAGGTGTAGCGTTTGAAAGTGTTTTGTCCTGTTGCGCCTGCTGTGTTTGCATGCCGTGTAATGAATAGGCATTCAGGTACGTGGATACGCACAACGTTTGCAGCGTTAGTTTTAGCCCCACACGCGCGCGCGCGCCTGTTGATGCAACTGCGAGGTCACGTTTGGGCGCGAAAAAGGGTTGTGCGTGTTATGGATGTTACGGACAGCAACACCGCGGCGTGGCAAGCGCCATTGCCATCCTTTGCCATCTCTGCAGGGGGCCAAACCATCCGGGCTGCCTCCCTCCAGTTCCGGTAAGGCAATAGGCTGCCTTACCGGAACTGGAGGGAGGCAGCCTATTGCGGCACAGAGCCCTATTGCAGTAATAGCAAATCCAGAATCCAACGCCACGGAGCCAAGAATCACAAACGGTAGTGACGGCCGCCCATCCTCCACATACTTTGCTAATTACTTGTCAATACTTCCCCCCCGGGACACTTCCTGAAATTCTTCCGCCTCGCATATCTTGCCATCTGTCTTCTGCACCTTTTACCACACAAGGCACATCGTTCGCACATTGCATACATCTTTTCGCATGCCGCTTGAGATGCCGGGTTTCATTAGCCCACAGGTCATTCATTTCAGATAAAAAAAGTACAACTTTCAGCTACAGTTTTGTACCTCGACATCGTTTATTGCTCATCCTCACCACATCTACCAGTTCAACCGCTAAAGCTGCTCACTTCGGCGGCTGCTACTGATGCCATCTGGACTGCAGGCACCGGCCGGTTCACACAGCCGGTTCACACTCGTGGGGCGGAAGGAAGGGAGGCAGGGCGGTAGGTTTGTCGGGCCGCACAACATGCCTGCCCGCACCTCCGCAGTGCTTCCCATCCCATACAGCACGCGGCCATCCACAGCCACGGCGAGAACGAACGCTGCTCCGTATTCTCATCTCCCTCCTCGTACCATCCTTCATGCACTCGTACCTTCCTTCTTCACGCTCATTCCTCAGTCACAGCTCCGTCTGTTGCATGCCCCTTTAACCGCCTACGGTGCCACCCACCCACCACTATACGGCCACTATACCAACACTAGCGCCTCCATCCCTCCCTCTATCACCCGCTGCCGCCGGTCGCCGCCGCCGCCACTCGGAGCCCTCCGCGCCGGCGCTCCCGCGCCTTGAGCTGCTGCCCGAACAGCAACTCCGGGTCAAAGTAGCGCACGTCGAACACCCCAAGGGAGCTGTACAGCGCAGCCACCCAGAACAGCATGAGCATCACCCGCTGGACCACCCACAGCGGGGTGTAGCCGGGGGCGCCCCACAGCGCCAGGTAGGACATCCGGCGGTACAACAACACCTGAGGTGTAATCACGGTTGGCGGGAGGCAGGTGTGGATAAATGTCAGCAGGGTACACACGACCCACGCACGACCCCACACCTCTCCAGCCCCGGCCCCTTAACACATAGCCCTTGTTCCAGGCTGGGGCGTAGTATTGCTACAAACTATCATTACGGTAATGGCGATTTTTATAAAATCGCCATCCCGTACCGAAAGAACAGTTTCGCTGTTGTTCGTTTGCTGGGAAAGGAAAGGTTACTTAAGCTGGCCCAAAACAGAGTGAAGAGGACAGGAAAGTGAAAAGTCAGACCAAAGCTGCGAAAGGGGCAGAGCTCCAACCAGGATTTTGGAATCCTTCGGACCATCAAGGGGAAGGGCAGTACAAGGTTGGACTGCAGTCCGATTGATGTTCAGTACGCTAACAGAAAGAAACCCCACACCCCCCGCCAATCCTACCCCCCTGGGAACGCCAGTGGTTAGGTCTTAACCCCTTTGGAACGGTTCCTTAACTCCAAATCTTCAGTCTCGCGACACAAAACATGCGTGTGTGTGCACCGCACTTCCCGCGTCACGGCATGCTAGGTAGCTACCTATCTTGCGGATCATTTCCTCCACGCTGCAACTCACTGTCGCGTAAGCCTTCATGGCTATGTACAGCAACGCCTCTATCACGAACAAGATGTAAATGACGGCGAACTCCCGAAGGTAGAGGTCGTAGCGACCCAGGCGGATGTACAGCGTCTGGCTGGTAAGCACGAAGAAGCCACCGATGATGGCGAGTAGCAGGCCGCCCTGGGCGCTGCGAGGCGCGGCATTAGGGGTGGGACAGGGTGGAATCACATGATATGATGCGCGGAGCAAAAGAGATGGATCAACTGTCGCGAAGAACTGTCCAAAGCACCCCGAACTATATTACAGAGTCCAAAGCGGCGATATAAATTGAATAAGTTCGGGTGGGATTGGGTTCGGGTTGGGAGCCGGGGGAAAATGGGGTGTGGGTGTGGGTGTGGGGGTAAGGACGTACACCACGCCACGTTCAAGAGGTATTTTTTTGCGGCTGCGGCTGCGGGAGTGAGAGGTTGCGCGAGCACGCATAGGCGGGCAGGACGCTCAGATCGGAGATAAAATACGGCATTGGTTGTCACGTGAAGTAGTGGCTGCAGCTCTTAAGAAAGGATGGCCGAAGGAAAGCCCAAGTACGCGGAATCAGACAACGAATCCCGAAAGGCCATTCAGGACAAACTGTTTGAAGGGTTGTTGGGCTGGGTTGAGGTTAACATTGAGTTGAGGAGCGGGATGGCAGCTGAGAGAATCACGGAGGAGTAAGGAAGGGCAGGGAAGGGAAGGGCAGGAAGAAGGGCAGGGAAGGGCAGGAAGAAGGGCAGGGAAGGGCAGGGAGAAGGGAAGCCACGTTTATTGCACGCACCTGTAGACGATGACTTGCGTCAGCGGGGATTTCAGGTATATGGGGTCGGTGTAGACAGTGACCATGATGTGCGCCACGATGAGCACCATCACCCCACCAAACTGGTAGGACATGCGTCGCAGCATGCCCTTGCCGCTCGGAAACATCTCCTGTTGGTGGCAGTGGTGGTTTTGGGGAGATTGAGAGAAACGCGGGACGGGGAAAGGAACGGCCGAAACGGCATGGGTCGGCTTGTGGGCGAGGATCCTTGACTTGGCATACAGGCGATGGATGCCGCACATTTTGCATCCCTTAACTCTGTGTGTGTGTGAGTGTGTGTGTGTGTGTGTGTGTGTGTTTTCATGATCTGAGCCGCAACGCATGTGTGTAGTATGTGTGTATGTGTATATGTGTCGGCCTTAACGGCCGCCTTGGAGTGGCGTCGCTTCAGGTGCAAGGGCAAGGAAAGGTCCGGTTACTAGGTGCCTTTGCCCGGCGGGGGCCTTTTTGTTATCGCCCAAAATAGGGCATGGACGTGGACGCAGCTTAGATCTCTGCGCTGCGTCTCTTAAGAGTCAAGTCAGAGTTCCGGGCAGAGCAATGAAAAGCGTATTCGCTGTGTCCGCAGGCGGCCAAAAGGGGCCCGGCCCCTTGTGGAGGGAGTTTCGATCACCAGAGCCTTGGAGCGAACGCGGGTGGTTTACAAAGAGGTGTGGCTCACCTCGGTTAGGTCCGTCTCACGTTGGGGCTGGACTGTGATTGTCGCATCACCAGGAGCCGCAGTTGTCTGGCTGGCTGTCACATCGTATACGGGGTTGGTCCAGGCCTGCACCTTGCTGGCCATCCGGCTGTTGCCATCAAGCCTATAGATGCCATCCTCCACAAGGGGCAAAAGCTTTCCCGCTGTCGCCGCGGTAATAACGGAGGGCCCCCGTCGATGTCCCATCGCTGCGCCGGGCGCTCAGTCCAGCGGTCGCTGCACAATTTCCTTGCAGAAATTTACAAGAGCCGACATCGCACCATTTGTGCCTTATGGGTTGTTCTATACAGTTTGCTTGCTAGAAGTCGTGCCGGGTCAACCAGCCGGTCCCGGACAACGACCACCAACCACACAGCCAAGCACCTTTGGTTTGGTCATATGTCTATAGAAGTTCTATGGTGAACTAAGGATGCTGATTAACCCTGGTTGGGGGTTTGGGCGCTGGCATGTGAAACTTGCGGGAGTCAAACACGTCCCCTTCGTCATTGCTTACGATTAGGTTACGTGGCTGGATGAAGGCTCCTCTGTGAAATGTGTTGTTTTTGATGAAGTTTCTGGGGAGCAACAAGTTAGTTGCAACACCGGTCCAGGGTGGCGCAGGTTCGCGCGGAGGTTGTGTGTCAAACTGCCTCAGTCAGAAAAACTAGTTGGGCACGTCGTCTTCCACTGTATGTATCGGGGCTACTGACCCACCCCTTTAGCCTAAGCGGCGACCTAGGCGGTCTTCTTTCGGGAAAATGAGGTCTAGTGTTTCGCTTTTCCGGACTCTGGGCAAGGGCTTGGGGCTGTGCGCAGATGCCGCAAACAGCCGCTTGGCGCAGAAGGTTCGTGAAAAAGAGGCCGTGAACTTACACTGATGGAGATTTAGTCTTGCGGAGTTTAGCACCCCTGTAGGCCTCACCGGCTAGTCACTTATTAGCAGCACATCTGTATTCCGGCGCAATGGAGCCCTGGATTGTGCATTTTGCAGGCCGTGCCAGCCCTTACGGCTACGATGTCGAGCACCGCCTCCGATGCCGAGCCCAGCAAGGCGGCACATTACGCCGCTGCGCTTGGAGGCATTCTTGCTGGCGTCTTTGGCGCGTCTTGCGTCGCGACGGCCAGCGAGGTTGCTGATGGTCTTCACGCGCCTCATTACCCATGGCCCCACGAGGGTGTGCTAGATTCGTATGACCATGCCGCTATTCGCCGTGGCCACAAGGTGATTCAGAGCTTGTAACTTTAGGACGTAGCTGCGGAGGTCGGAGCCCGTGGGAATGTAGACTTGCTTGGCGATGTACAGAATACCTTGGGACAGCAAAGACGGAATTTTGGAGTATTATTCAAAAACTCACTTCGCGGTAGCTTGCGGTTTCAGCGCGTCGAACTGCCGAATTTGCAGGGGGAGGTTTCTGCCCTTCCTGCACTGTGGTCCTGACACTTGGGTCAGCTTGCGCTGAAAACCCGGGGATGTCAGCCAATGCAGCATTCACATGCTCACCGGCCTGGAGATATGGCATCATCCTTAGACGGAGATAGCGCATTGCTAGTTCCGGACAAAGCAGAGAGGGGCCCCCTACATGTGAGAGCCCTACGATTAGTGCACCCTGGTTCCCCCCTACCTTCGTCTCCACCCGCCCTTTACTTTCCCCCTTTCGCTGCAGCCGTGCCGCCGCTCGATAAGCCAAATCTGTCTTATCTGGGCTCTCATTTTCTCCCTGTTGCTTCTTTGCAGGTTTACCAGGAGGTCTGTGCGGCGTGCCACTCCATGCAGTACTTGCACTGGCGCCAGCTGGTGGGGGTGTGCTACACGGAGGAGGAGGCCAAGGCGCTTGCGGCGGAGACGGAGGTGGGTAGGCGTGAGTGCTGCTAATGTCTTAATAACATGGGGGAGTTCTCGCAATGTGTAGTAGCTGGCCGCTGAAAAGGCCTCTCGAGATGCTGGTGGTCGCGCTTCGCGCGTATTTGTAGAGCCGTACTGTGTACCAGCTACTACACGATGGGAGGAAACGTTCCAGCAACACGCATTTTGCAAGAGCTACGTGCCAGGCAGGGGATTTAGGTGGTTTTTGTGCGCCCTGGCGGTGAACGGAAGGAAAGGCCGTTCGGATGGTTCCGTGGCAACATCCTGGTTGCCTTTCTCTACCTAGGGCTCATGTATGGTGGGTCTGGATCCTCGGCTGAGGCAATGGGCATTGGCTTGCGCAGTCCTGACGTGGTTGGTTTCGGTCCTTGCAGTGCATGGTTGCGGTTGTGCAATGCACGATTGTTCCTGCGGTTGAGTGGAATTGATAGATTTGAATCATGGACTTCTGGAAAGCGGGTGTGGCACAGTATAGGTACGCGCGTACACTCGGCTGTGCGAGACGCGCACCGTGGCGTGGCGTGTGACGACGTGGTGCTTGAGGGTTGGTTGCACCCAGCTATGCTACAGAAAGCACCGCTGTGAAGCCCTCGAGGGTGAGGGAGGTAATTGATGTGACTGGGGAGGCCTGCCGTCGTCTACACCACCCTCACACCTTCCGCCTTGGCATACCGAGGGTATTGCGAGGGGCATTGCGAGGCGCAGCCTTCCCAGGCAGAGCGTGTTCACTCAATATCGAATCATCGGATGGAAGAAAACTTTCCCACAGGAGACAGCGGCCAGATTTACAGTGCGACCAGGACGGAGTGTAGCCCTCCTAAAAGCACCCTGCCCTCATGTTAATTCATTTACGACGGAATGCGTCACATTATTCATCCAAAAAATGGTCTCCACCTTCGCAGCCCTTGTGGCCACACGTGCTATCCAGCGCAAACACCGCCGAGCTTTCTGTGGGGCCATGTGGCGTCTGTGGTGTTGAGGAACCGGTATTCATCGCAGCGTCCGGCGCGGTACCGCAATGTGCAACGGGCACCTAGCTGTGCGGTCTGGTATCGTGTTTCATGATTCACCTCCTCGAAAGTCTTCTGGGTTCGGTTTATTCACTGATCCGCATACTACCCCTCGCCTCGCCCCGTGAGCTCCCATTCCGTTACCCCGGGCCGTCTGTGGTGATGCCTTAAGGCGGTTTAAAAAACGTCCCGCTTGGGTCCCCCCATTCCCCGTCGGCACGCGGAGTCAGGTTGAGGACGGCCCCAACGACGAGGGCGAGATGTTCACCCGGCCGGGACGCCTTTTCGACGCCTTCCCGTCGCCCTATGCCAACGAGCAGGCGGCACGCTACGCCAACGGCGGCGCCTACCCGCCTGACCTGACCCTCGTTTCGGGTGGTCGCCACAACGGCCAAAACTACATCTTCTCGCTTCTCACCGGATATCGGGACCCGCCGGCGGGCATTTCGGTGGGTAGCCTTTTTGACAGGAGCTGCTTTGGGCAGGAGGGGATGGGTGAGGTTTGATACCCCCTCTACCTCACACAGGCATACATGCACATGCGCACGCGTCTTGAAATGTATGCACGTTAAAGGTGATTCAACTCCCAATAGCTGGCACCTGGGTTCGAGGTGGGACGTGTAACGGTGTCGATAGGCTACTGCAGAGTAATCTTGCAGCTGGTGGCCGGCAAGCGAGCCTCCTGCGGCATTATAGAGAGCCTCTTATTTTTTAGGCGTGGACTTCCTGGCGCCCCCGTGATTCATCTCCCGCGAATCTCAATGTTCATGTGTTGTGAAAGGTGGTCTCTTCTTTTGGGATTGTCTGTCGGCTGTGCTACAGGTTCGTGAGGGTCTATACTACAACCCCTACTTCCCCGGCGGCGCGATTGCCATGCCCAAGATGTTGGTGGACGGTGGCGTGGAGTACGACGATGGCACACCCGCATCAGCCTCACAGCAGGCCAAGGACGTGGTCACATTCCTGACATGGAGCTGTTATCCGTACCAGGTGCGAGTTCCCTTGCGGCCTGGGCTTTTGCATACACTCGAGGGGAAGGGGGTACAGATGAAAGAAAAATCCGCGACAGGTTACCGTCTGTGGGGTTGGAAAGGAGTTGTCACCCTGCTAAAGAGCGGCGCCCCTTTATGGTTAGGAGGCATGTATATTTTTTTAAAAATTGACATGTGTAATTGTTGCGAGGTCGCTGACATCCCAGAATGCTTATTGGGTTCGGCTGATGAGTTGCAGGGACGATGTCCAACCGTTCAAAAACGGCAAAGGGATTACGGTTGATGCCGTGCAAGAGGCTTTAAAGGGCATTAATGGAAACTAAAAGACGACGCGCGGGCCTAAAAGAGCGGGTTGGAGAGGAGGATGGAAGAGTTAGTGTGCTTTCTGGGAAGGAGTTTACGATTTCACGCGGGAGGAGCTTCCCCTATGAAACAGCACCCGCCATAGGACATTTTTTATGTGCTGTACTGGATATGATACGACAGTCATTCATTGCGTGTGTGAAGGGGAGCCACGTTAAGCACCGAGGTGCCATGACCTCGCTTGTTCAGCTTCCGGTGATGTCAGGTGTGTGTCACCTGTGCACGGTTGCAGCCTGTTTAGAGACTATAAGATGCACAAGCAAGCCTAGGCAAGATTTAGGGAAGGGAAAGTGTAAGATGGCAGTTCCACTTTGCGTTTGGAACTTGCCAACGCTCGAGTGGGCACTGATGTGTATGGCCTGTCTAGGAAACTGTGGCAGAAGGCAGCGGCGGATGATCCGCACCAATGTCCACGTCGATGCTGGCTTTTCGCGCTGCCGCCTGATCTTTCGAGCAATCGAGTTGCCCGTATTGCGCCCTTTCTCTGGGCCAGGGCCTGCACGCCACTTCATTACGTACCGTCTGCCGTGCGTGCGCGTCTCTTTTACTCGCATGGTTCATTCCTGAACATTATGTATCATCGTGGCGATGAGTAGATGCATAAGTAAAGAATTAATTTACGTTTCTGGACATGAATGAACAAAAACGTAATCGATCCCTTCCAACATGCAGGACGAGATGCGGGTCATGGGCATCAAGGCCTGCCTCATGATCACAATCCTCATTGGCTTTGCCGCCTACTCGAAGCGCCTTCGCTGGGCCCCAATCAAGTCGCAGCGTATTGTCATGGACGTCGTCAACTAAAGGACGGCTACCCTCAGGATGCACGTCGCCACTGAAAACCCGTGTAACTCGACTCGACTCGGCAGCGCAGCTTGTCTCTTGTGCTGTTGTACTAAGTGACGCTAAGGACGAGGAGATGGCGACGTGTGTTGGCGGGCGGCAGGCGTCACGCACACGCGCACGCACCTCTCCAGGGGAGGCCCTGCTGGACTATTGACTTCCTGGACCCTGTCGCCGGGAGGTGGGGTTGCAAGGAGGACGAAAGCCTGGTAACTCGGTGTGGGCCTCGCGAGTGCCCCAGCGGCTTTAGATCCTTAAAGGAAGAGGTTAACATCGTTCTGGAGGCTTCCCAGTCCCAACGGTTTACACAGCTTTTGTGTCTGTCTTGCTATTCCTGCGCGGTTTAGTTGTTTTGACCTCATGGTTTCCGGGAGTGAGCCCGGCACCACCAGGCAGGCGAGGAACACCGGCGCGGGTGCGGGTCGGTGTGCGAAAGTGCGGGACCAGCCAGCTCGTGGCATCGCAGCAGATGTCGGCGGACAAGCGTGGCGGAGCATGCTAGAGGAGGTTAGGGCGGGCTAGATGTGTTTGCTGGCATGTCGTTTGCGGGTTTCATGCGTAAAATGGTGCTTTGTTGAGGCGGCAGTGGTGGCGGTGGTGGGTTGCGTTGGTGGTGAAGTCGGCGCCGGCGCGCTTGCCAGGAGGAGGGCGAAGGAAGGGGTATCAGCCGCTCGGGGGATCCGAGGAACCGAGACGGACGCATTTGCCTTTTGAAAGTGTCGCCGCCGGGTGCTTCTAACAGGGACCGGTCTTGGCACGTCCTTGAGGTGGCCAAAAAAGGAAAAGGGCATATGAAGTGCTAAAAGCAAGGCGAGCGCCAGGAGGCAAGAGATGAAGATGGACTACAGACAACTGTGGAGGTGCTTGTGCGTGCACGTTTTAAGCCATGATTCACGAAGCGCGCATATGGCTGTCCAACTCTGTTGGGATTGTAAATGTCCTCCAAGCCGGATTCTCGCCGGAGGTTCTGGTAGCTGCCCGGCGCTAGCGGGGGAATTGCGTCCTGGGCTTTGGGCTCGGTGACATGCCTTGGGCTCTGTACGACGGTTTAGGACGGGGGGATGGCACATTATTGCGTCCTTAGGCTTATCAACCTGGCGAATGGTGGTGTTTCTTTTAGTGTTGGGGCAAACGTGTGTGTTCTAAAGACCGACGTAGATGGTCGATCATGTGTTTAGCGGCTTGTTCTGATTTTACGGCATGTTCCATACCGTGTAAAAAAACATGATTGGGCTTTCGGCTTGCCAATTTATTTAGTGGAGCTTAACGTCGAAAGTATGTTCCTGTATGTTAATTCAATCGTTAGTTTCGTAACCTTCCCCAAGGGTGTCGACTATCGAGTAAGGATGCCTAATTAGAAGGCTCTACACAAGTGCACGACACTGCGTACGTGCATAGCACCACGTCAGCAGTGGTCCCGCCAAGGTGCTGCATTTCAAGCATTTACTATTACGGAGAATTTATGTAACAAAGCATTAAGAAATCAAAAATTGATCCATAATAGTTAAGCACGCTCACATCGAAAGTTCCTAACGCTTACGTTTGATAGTTCATAACCCGGCACGGAACGTTTTCAGCCGTCAATTATGGCAACGCTTCGCTGTTCACTAAGCCTTAATACATCAGCGCATCTCAGGAAGCGGGACCTTCGCACGGTGTCGGCAGCGAGAGGCAGGTGTCGCTATAGCCCATAACATCTCTTATTGGTCTCAGTCGATAATGTTCTTCTCCTGGATTCAGGCGTTTGCGTGCGGGCTTCTGCGCCGGAACAGGAGTCACCGGTGGTGAGCGAGGGTCCTGGGATGAGCACCGATATCATGTAGGCTGGATGGTAGCGCCTTGCTCGGCTCTTTACCTTATGCTGCATGGATCTCTGTTCAGCACTGGCTCAAGGTGCAAGCCTTAAGTTACGAAATTCGAGATACGAAAATTGCCTTCCCGTGGGCTCTGCAGGCTTCGGCTGAGCTCCAGTACAACCGGGTGCTGCTTACAATCCTAGACGCAAATCCCTTCCTTAGCGATGGGTCCCGCACGGTGAGGTTAAATTGGGAAGTTCAGGAGCCGTTCGTCTCGGGGGCCGGCAACAAATGCACGAATTTGCAGCTTTGAGGTTATATGCAGCCTTCTTATGCTTAGCGGCACTTGTCCTGACCTAGCCAGCGTCGGGCCCAATGGTCCTTGGTTTTTTCTTCCCGAAAGTGAAGGCCGCGTACTGACGCTGCCGGCCCCGCATAGGCTGTGGCGACGGCGGCACTCCTAGCTCGTCAGCACCAGTCCAAGGTCACGGTTCTTGTCGTGGATGAACCCGGTGAGTACTGGAAGGAGTTGAAGCCGCCTAGTGCTTTCGCTTTCGGGGGAGACGCTCCGGCACAGGGCGAACGGCAGGCCACTACCACTCTGAAAGCGTCTAGATCCCACACGCTGCTATTAACGCGTTTGCTATCAATTTTAAGAAACATTTGCCAAACAACGATAAGGTTTAAGGTTTAATTAGCTTCTCGACCAGATATCGAGCACGCAAGTTTGGCAGTTGGCTAGCCGGAGTAGCCGCCAAAGGCACACACACGATCGCACCGGGTTGCGCTTTATCCCGTTATGAAGAAGCAGCGCGTAAGAATACTCCTTGCGTCCAACGCCCTCTCCTCGGGCTCTGCAGGTACAGAGAACACGGACCCCAGTCGCCGTCTGGAGAGCATTTCCTGGCACCTGAAGGACCGAGGCTGCGAGAACTTCGAGGTTGTGGAGCGAGCCATCACGTCTCCCGCGTCGGTGCTGGTTGGTGAGTCACCCAGTAGTTGCCCTTCCCCTTCAGTTGTTAGGTTAGTTGCCCTCGTGTCTGCATGTTGGTTGTTAGTTGCGTCCCGCACATTCTTCCTTTTCACCGCTGCCTGCTTTTCGCTCGCACTCATCGATGGCCTCCCCCCTAGGACATCCCCACCCCCTCACAGCACTCCCTTTTCCTTTCATGGGTTATGCACGTTTATGCATAGAGAAGAACCAGCCTTCATTCTAGCCTTCCGCTATTTGTAGTTGATGAAGAGCGCAGTGCTGACAGTGCAACTTTATCTGTCACGGCCCGGCCCGGCCTGGCCTGGCCCTGCAGGTGACGTGGCTGACGAGATCTCGGCCGACATGGTGGTGCTGTCCAGTGAGGCAGTTCACGCCAAACACGTGGACGCCAACCAGCTGGCGGAGTTCGTGAGCTGCCCGGTGCTGCTGCTGCCTTGAAAATATCTGAGCTCGTCGTCGTCAGCCAGGGCTCGGAGAGTCAGGTCGTTTTGGGGTGAAGGCGGTAATGGGGAGATGGGGATACTCAGCGCGGGATGGGCGCCCAGGTGGAGGGAACGGCGTGCGGCTGCAGAGTACGGCACACTTATTATGATCTTACTTCTCGAAAGAGAGTCGACAGGATAGGTAGGATCGCTTTTGCGTTGGTTGTGACGCCAGCGGACGCCGCCGGGGCAGTAGCGCTATGTATTGGAGCTAGGAAAGGAAGGTCGGGAACGATGGCAGGAGCAGAGTAGGTGCTAAGCTCGTGTTGCTGAAGAGTACAGTAGTTGGTGAATGCGGTTGCAGTATGGTGGAAAGGAGTGGTGGTCATGATTGCTGCCAAACCCCAATCCTCGGGGTTGTACACGAAACGTCAAATTGCTGACTTATATCAGGTGGCGCGTGTGAAGATCGAGCCGGTTTGCAAGGATATGGCAGATCGCCTCCTGACTGTGTTGGATGTTAAGGAAAGCAGCGCCGGTGGTCTTTTTTGCCGATTGAGGTACTGGCTTTTTCCTTAAGTCGTCTTATATCGCAGTGTTGTGTCCGTGTCCGCTTGCTTCCTACAAGTGATGTATGTGTTGTGCAGGAGAAATGTTATTAAACCTGGGTGTCACCAGGTAAAACGCTTGGGCGGTTGTGTGTATGGTAGTATGATGTTGCAGATGCAGAGGTGTCGTACAGAGCATATAACTAGCAAGTGCCTCGGGAAGTTTTGCTACTACTACATATATCTGATAAGGCAGCTGGACTTTGGCAGCAAAGCATTTTCTACGATCACTCTTCGTTTTCTGTTCGTGCTGCACTTTTTATTACACTCTTGCGCGCCTTGGAGAGATCGAGTGTATCTCTCGCCATCAGCAACATGATGAACCGGCGCCACTGCCAAGTATTGGACAGGACGTGCAGCGTATGTGAATACCCCCAAGATGGTGGTGGAGGTTCTAGCTCTTTAAGTTCTAGCTGCGCCGTCCATTTTTGTGCGTGTCACTAAAGGAATAGCTAGGGCGGGCAGGGAACATTAGGAAAAAGGAAGCAGGGGAAGGGAAACCTCTCGCTTGGCGGCGATGTGGTCGAAAGGGCATATGAGCTCCAGGCGCTCTCCCCTAAGCCGCCCCCGCCCATGCGCCTCATTACGCAGCTCTTTCCAGCAGCCCCGTGCTTCTAACATACCGCATGTCTCTCCTTTCCGGGGTCACTCCAAACCTTCCACCCCGGGACATGAATCTGAACCTGTTTCAACATGCACGAGTTTCCCGCCTAGCTAGCTTTCCTGTAATTGTGCGCCTCCGATCATCCATGCTGTCCGAGATGATAACACGTATTCGTATACCTGTCACATTCACCACCGAACGTGGACTACATAAAATAAGAAACGCACAATGCCTTGGGAAAGGAGGCACAAAACTTGTACGACATGTCCGTACACGCGCCGAAACATGCAAACGGATCTGTGTGAAGAATATGGCACCGAGGTGTGTGACTAATGCATTTTTCGTGTGGTCTTTAGGTCCCCTGCACGCCACTTTTCCCGCACGCCTACCTTGTGCCCCGCACCCGCCACGCATCTCACCTCCGCCATGACCCGCCACAACCTCGCCCACCACACCGCTCGCGCCTGCTGTGGCCCAGCAGGCTGTCTGCGCCGGCCATCATCCTCACCCTCCGATATCAGATATGCTCGGCAGCCTCATCATCAGCAGATTTATGCCGTTTTGCCGCGTGCTCCTGCAGTGGCTCTACAATTTCTGGTTCCTGTTGCTGACCGTACAGGTACAGTGCCTGCAGTTAAAATTGCAGCTGCTGCAGCTACTGCTGCTGCTGCTGCACCAGAATATAGTTGTCGCATTGCTGATCGGGGGTGCCTGATCGCCTGCCCATGCAGCTTCCGCAATGCCCAGCTGCTGCACCCCGGACACCGCCGGACACGGGTGGTCTGCCGAGTGCGAGGGCTGGAACTGGGGATGGAACACCTGAGCCATAGCACGGCTGCATGTCATTGATGAACCCTAGTAGAGCCAGAAGATCATCTCTACAGGAAATACGCCCACTCACGCACGGGAGAGCCGCAGGGGGAGGGGAACCTGCTGTGCGGGCAGCACACGAACAGCTGGACGGCACACGTTCGCATGGTGGTGACCCTCACGCCAGGTAAAGAAGAGGCTGCGCCCAGAGTTGCTAAGTGCGCCGCTACCGTCCAGGCCGCAGCCGTCGCGGGCATCATTTCGACTGGAGGATGATGGCCACCCCGGGGCACCCGGGGCCGGGTACTCAAGCACCTCACGGTCCGGCAAATAAGCTGCAGTATCGTAAACAGCAAAAAATATGCAGGGGGCGTTCCCTGCAGTACCAAACATCCGAAAAAACACAAGGCGGCGTGGAGCACACAAAGCATGAAGCAGCAGTAGACCTTTCCTGGTTACCTGGGTAGGTGCGGGAGTAGGTGCGGGAGAAAACAAAGCTCGTGTGACACGGGGCTCTTACCTTCGTATCCTTAGCAAGCCTTGTGGCCGTGTAGCCGTGTAGTCGCATACCCCCAAAAGCCTTGACACTGGCCGCCGGGACATATCGTTGTGGCGCTTACGCGTGTCATGTGCATCATTGCCATCCTTGTGCGTGGTCTCCCAGAAACGCCGAAATGAGTCATATGGAAATGTAAATCTGTGCCCGGTCACCGGAAAAGCCAGAATCGCACTGCTGTGCTGTGCTGTGCTGTGCTGTGCTGCCAGGAGATGGCGCCAGTGTGCACATTTGGCACGTGCTTATGGCGCGAAGATCGGCAGTCGCATCTGCGCCCAGCCCAGCCCAGCCCAGCCCAGCCCAGCCCAGCCCAGCCCAGCCCAGCCCAGCCCCGCCCAGCCCAGCCCATGGAAAAGAAGGATCTCCACGGAGCCCTAGCGGTCACCCGGGAAGAAGCTAGTAGACGGCGACGCGGGCTGAAGACCCACTTCAACCAGATCATGGTGCCGAGGCCAATATTCAGACAGGGAACAGAAGCTGCCGCCGCAGGGAGGACCTGGACATAGACGACCCGCACATGGGCTTCCGGGGGTTGCACCCACCAGCGGTTCTGGCCAGGGACTGGCAAAGGCACACTGGCGCCAGTATCGGCGGAGAGGTCGAGACAACAGAAGCAAATTTGGGTAGGCTGATCTCAGTTGGGCAAGCAGGCGCCGCAGCAATAGCCATTCCAAGGTTAAACAGCACAAGTGCAGGTGCGGTATTGACCATCTCATCCGCGTCTGCCTGCGCCGAGCGGTTTGCCTGGCTGGCTGGAACCGATTGGTGGTGCAAAGGTGCATGTCGAGCTGGTAGGCTGGGTGCGGTGCGAGGCGGAGCAGCGGCCGCACACGCGGCCTTCACTCCCGTACCTCTGCTAACCGGGAGCCGCCTTGCAGCGGCGCCATGGTGGCTCGGGGAGGGCCTCTCGCGATCTGGTGAGTCTCCCGCTCTCAATCTGCTTCGCACATGTGTGCACCATGTTTGTTTGTGGATCTTCGACTCTTGTTACCCGCGTCCCCCGTTCAGCTTCCAGCTGGGAAACAACAACGGAGAGAACAAGCACAGCGTAGCTCCCTTTTGATCTGGATGTAGCTGATGTAGCTGCTAGAATAATTGGGTGCTAGGGGAAAACTCCATCGTGGTAAGTCAAGTATACGGCATGAAACGTTGCCGAGAAAACGGTTACATAATTAAGATACTTATATCATTTACATCAGATAAAAGATAGTGATATTTTGATGTGCCCGAAGGAGCAAAGCTTGCTGCAGTGCGGTCGTGGCCCACCAGCTCTCCCCGGTGTGTCCCTGCCTCTCAACCACTTTGTACGACGTGGAAGAGTACTGCAACAACACGGTCACGGTCCATAACATCCGCGCGACACCATCGCGGTAAGGTGGTCGACCGGGTGTTGCTCCACCTTGAAACCCTGGAGGACAAATCACTTCAGCAAATCGCACCCGCCACATCTCGCGAGAGAAACACAACGGTAATTGCAAAACACGGCAATTAAGAACACTCACATTTTTAAACAACGATCCCACCCACCAAGACTATCCTGCAATGCCCTCAACAGCTCTCAACTACCCAAGTAACATGAATAATATTGGACACACATACACACACATACACTCTCTCAAACCCTGGGGGGTTGTGACCCACATCATGCACTCTTGTATTAATGCAGGATTTTGATGTGTGCTCGTCCCTTATTTGCCGTACTGCGAGGATCCATGGGTCCAATAGGCCAGCGGGGTATCACCTGAGAGAACAAAGAGAACAAAAGTCAACAACAACAACAAAATCAGAAGTAACATGAATGTGGCTCCCGAAAACAATTTGCCGTTAAAAGGGGAAACAGACTAAACATAAAAACAAGGGGCTGCCACTCATCCAACCACCGTTAAACCACACAAAACGAAAGACCCAATATAAAAATGGTAAAACAGCCGCAAACCTCTCCCCCCCCACACACACATCCCCCCCCACTCACCTGCACATGCGCATCCACTCCCCCTCCTCCTGCGCCACCTGCTGCCGCCGCCGCCGCGCCCCCACCAGCAGCAGCAGCAGCTGCCCCCCTAGGCGGCTGCTGATACAGCCCCAGCTTGAGACGCTCCACCCCAGTCCACGCCACCATCAGCCCGTTGTCCGTGCAGTACCTGTACAAGAGAGAGGCGGCAGGCGGCAGGCATGCGACCAAATGTTAGTAATCGACAACAGATTAGAGCCGAGTGGGCGGCTTCGTGTTCCCTTGTTGGCTTTTTCCCTTGTTTCGTTACTACTTCGCACATGCTTCCAACCTGTCGTCGCATGTCCAACCCTTCCCAATCACCACCACCGCGGGGCCCACCATCACCACCACCACCACCACCACCGCACATCACATCACCTGACGGGCGGGTACACGCACGGCAACCCGAACTCCGCCGCGACCTCACTCAGCCCTGTCCGCACAGCCGCGTTGGCCGCCACACCGCCCGCCACCACCAGCGAACGCACAAAGCCAGGTTGGTGCTGCTGCTGCTGCCGCTCGCGCCGCAATTGACAGGCTGTGGTTACTGCGCCGCTGGCCCCAGCCGGGCCTGTTGCTGCTGCTGCAGCAGCTGCTGCTGCTGCTGCGTCAGCGTCCTCCACTTCGCAGGCAGCTTCTTCTCCTCCTCCTCTTGTTGTTGCCAGTGCTGCTGCTGCTGCTACTGATCCAAGCTGCTGTGCGGCGTCCTCCCGCAGCCACTCCAGAGCCCTGAGGCGGTTTCGAAAAGAACAACAACGTCTTTTCAACAACGTCTTTTCAGCAGTTGTCCTCCGGTCCTCGGGCTTCGAAATCCCAGGAGGCCAGCCGCTGGCGCGAGCAGGGAAGGCGGCTCCTCCAGTTGCCGGGTGTGACCCCCCAAAGGCCTATAAACCAACTAGTTCGGCTGCGAAGGCTTAGAACTTTCGGGCCCGAGTCGGGGTGAACAACCCTAACACGCGGCAATGTCGATGCGTCCCTCGCTCTCTCAGCTTGGTGTTCTGGTACTGGTAGTGGTGGTGCGATTGGTGCTACTGCCGCTGCTGCTAGCTAGGTTCCCGGCTGCCGCTACTGCTGCTGCTACTGCTACTGCTCCTCCCCGCAGCCGAGGGGAACTCACAGGCGCATGAAGACCTCTTACCCGGCTGACGACGAGGTCGCTTTTTCTTACCAAACCCATCACCACCACCACCATAAATAAATAAATCAACGGATAGGATCACCGAGGTGAAATGTGGGGGAGCGAATATTTTGTAATAAAGAAAAATACAGGGAAGGAGTTCCATTCTATAACTGGTTCGGTATAACAGTGTTAAAGTCACCATGGCCGCTAAGGTCACACCATATGACTCCTAGGGGGAGCGGTCGTCGTCGCCCTCTCGAGAGGTCCTCCTCTTACCTCCGAGTGCGCTGCTGCAGGAATCGAACCGCGGTTCTCTGGAAAGACGCCGCAATGTCAGCCACTGCTGCAGCAAACTCCGCCTCCGCTGCCGCAGTCGCAGTCGCCCGCCCCTCCGCCTCCCCTTCGTCACCGCCCATCACCACCTCCCGAGCCGAACCTGCCGTACCATCTTTCCCTGCCATCATTGCCGCCGCCGCCGTCGCAGTTGCTGCAGGCGGCGGCGCCGCGTCACAATCCATGGTGGTTTCACCACCGCCGGCAGCGCCACCGCCGCCTCCAGCGGCGGCGGCTGCCGCCGCCGCTGCTGCCAGCGCTGGCGGCGGCGGTAGATCCGGCAGCCCTAGCTCCTTCCTCTTTTGCATAATGAGCGTCATGACCTGGGTTTTCAGTCCGGAGAAGGAGAAGTTGCAGCTGTCCTTTTGAGCCCCGTTGGCGAGTGGCAGGGTCAGGGGGTAGCGGATGTGCGCATCCAGCCGGGCGGAGGCCGCCATTCGCTCCAGGTGGGGGCCACCTGCGTCGCCATCACAGTGCATTATCCGTACTACACAGTGCTACACGTCATCAACTGGATACAGTACGACATGCAATACGGTATACGGCAGCAGCGGTGTAGCACTTTAGGCATGGGGGGATCTGTACGGCATGCAACGGGATAAAAGGCGTAACACATAAATAGCACAAAAAGCACGGCACGACGTTACACACACACAAAGCACACACATACAAACGGATTGATCGCCGTGTCGCCACTCCCCTTTCCCCGCCACACCCACAGACAATCCAGTACGGCAGTAATACACACACATCACCCGGAGCTCACCTGGTACGGCAGTGATTCCTGCCACCCGTGCGATCTTATCAAAGCACTCCCCTACCGAGTCGTCTAGCGTCGTCCCGATGATTCGGTGTCGGCCCACCCCCTCGCACAGCACCAGCATGTTGTGCCCCCCGGACACCAGCAGCAGCAGGGACGGGAACTGAAACAGAAAAACACATGCGGGTGGGGGTGATATGCGGTGAGAGTACGGCAGGGTACGGGAGGTTATGGGAGGGTAGGCGCAGGGGGGTACGGGAGGGTACGGGAGTCGTACGCAAGGTGCAAAAGATCCACCGCTGTTGGCGTTCACAAAGGCGGAGGGGGTTGGGGGGGAGGGTGGGGGGGAGAAAGTGACTCACAGTCACTTCAGTCACCGACGGAGCTAACGTGAGCCTTTGGGGGGCGAGGAGGGGGGAGGGAGCGCATGCTAGGGGGGGAGGGGGAAGGGGAGGACGGGAGGGGACCAGCCAGCCGCGTGGCTCGGTGTGTACGAGATGACCGAGAAAGACAGCTCACTGCCGCGTGTGTGTATGTGTGTGTAAGAGCGTGTGCTGGAGAGAGCGTGTGTAAGAGCGCGTGTGTTTGTGCGAGGGGGGTTTGGGTGGGGGGAAGTACACCGGAAGGGATTAGACGAGCGAGAATGCAGATGAAGAAAGTACGACAGATCCAGATACTAAAACCGGATGGTCTCACCCAATCTCGTGACAATCCGTACGGCCCCCCAACCGTACCCCCGCCACACACACCTGCATCGGAGTTTCGTTCACGGAAGGCAGCCGAGTCATCATCGCGTGCGCCTCCATGTGATGTACGGGAATGTACGGCAACCCGTGACGCGCCGCCAAGGTCAGGCCGTACTGCACGCCAACCTACGAGTTTCGTGTCGCGGCGGCCTTAGTAATCATTATAGTGATAATAATGATATCACCGTCAGAAGGACGGGGAGGGGAGGGGAGTCCCGGAGAGGCAATAAGATGTACGACCCGTGTGCAAACAAAGTCCGTTAAGACGTAGAACACCTACCTACGTACCTACCTGCCTATCTACCTACCTACCTGCCTATCTACCTACCTACCTGCCTATCTACCTACCTACCTGCCTAACTAACTAACTAGCTACCTAAAACGTGCAAGAAGCTGCCCATTGGGGCGAGTGGAGAGGGGCGGGCAGGCGGGGTGTCCAAGAGCGCCCCAACCAGCCGGCCACCAGTCAGGCAGCCAGCCACCTAAGCAGGGGTGGCCCCAGTACAATACAGTACAGTACTTATCCCACCCAACCCAACTCCAACCCGATTCTCCCCCCTCCCCCCTTCCCCCCCCCGACAGCTTCCCTTTTTCCCTCCGGATCCCCCGCCCCCGCCCCAGCACCCGACTAACCCCCTGGGGGGGGGACCATACACACACACACACCTGCAGACAGAGCGCCAGCCCCGGCCCCGCCGTCACCGCCACCGCCGTCAGAGACCCCGCCTCCACACCCGCTCGCTGCAGCGCCGAGTTCACCGTCGCCTCCAAAATGCGGAGGCGAGTTTGATGAGGGCAGCGATGAGGGTAGTCGTACACGGGGTAGCGATGAGGGTAGTCGTACAGGGGGTAGCGATGGAAGCGCAGGGAGTAATGGAGGGTAGTAGTAGTAGAGGAGGGGTAAGATCAAAGGATATTTGATAACAAATAATTTCATAATTGCGGCATCGCTGCATCGTTCATCTCAATTGGTATCACACTTTGTGCTGCATAACGACGGACAATCTGCCCGCGTCGATTTCCGTTAATGGTAATAAGTGCAGTACGAAGTGACGTACATATGTGCCCGCTTTCGGGCCCCCCTCCCTTGTTTCGCTCCACTTCTCCGTCCTCCATAAAACATACATACAAACATACACACACAGACATGCGTGCGTGCATGCGCGTGGCTTGAAACCATTGAAGGGTATGCCGTACACCTGCCGTACACCTACTTCGATTGCCGCCGCGTGCGCCTGACGAGCCACGTCCGGCTTCACGCCGCCGTACTGCTCGTGCAGCCCGGTCTACGTGTGCCGTACGAATGGGAATGAGTGAGGGAGTGGGGTTGGAGATAAAGGATATGAGAGAGAAGGGTGCAACAGCCATGGTCGCCAAGATTACCATGCGACGGATGGCCGCTCGGGAACCTTCAGCAAAGCGCCGAAACCCAACTAAGCAGTACATATACATGCCGTACATTAATAACCCAAACACGTACACACTTCAAATCGACGACCTCTTGCTTGCCTCTCGCCGTACTTCGTCCCCTACATACCTAGATAACACTTTGGCACAATATTTTGGCAACAGAATTCACACCCACACCCAAACACACACACACATCTGCACAAACGGTGGTCTCCTTATTTCCTAAGGGGACTCAGTCCCTACGTTGCGTTTGCCTTTAGGGCCTGCTGCCGTCTTAGCAAGCTCCCTGCACTATAATAAACCTATAACATACAATTCACCCTTTACAGCAATAACATTGGATATCGGTGATAATACATCAAGTATAGTGGCAACAAATTCTTTCTGCATTACAAATTAAATAAATAAAACTGAGTTAATTAGTCTTTTTTGATTAAGGGTAATTTTAAACTTATCACCTGCGAGGCGATCTCATGCGAAAGCACGGTCCCGTCGCCCCGTACGACAGCCGCCGCCGTGTCGTCGCAGCTGCTCTCAATACCCAACACCACCCACTGCGCGGGGTTCCCCCCCGCCAGCGCCGCCGCCGCCGCAGCGTTAACAGTGCTGGCGGCGCCGCTGGCACCCGTACAACGACGCCCCGCCAGCGCATCCGCCGCGGCGTCCTCTCCCGCCGCAGCGGCAGCGGTGCCGCGCCAGGCAACATCCGCCCGCGGCACTGACGCCGGGTATTGCTGCCGCCACCGCCGCAGAAGCTGCTCGTACTCCGCGTTGCCGCCGTCGCCTCCATCCAACGCGAAGCATCTGGCCACCACGCCATCCGCCGCCGCTGACGGCGGCGGCAGCGCCACCGTCACCGCCGTCACGTTCTCCGCCAGAGCACTTGGCAGCTGCTGCTGCTGCTCCTGGAGTTGGGTTTGTGACTCAGATTGCTGCTGCATGCCCGCTGCCGCTGCGCCAGCTTTGCCGCCGCCGCCGCCGCCGCCGCCGCTGCCACCCCCGCCAGCTTTCCTTGCCTTGGCCGGCGGCGGCTTGAACCGGGTTCCCAGTGAGGTGATTGAGACCAGGCGACCTGAGGCCTGAGCTGGGGAAGGGGCCGAGCAGTGTGTGGGGGGGGTCTGGAAGTGAAGAAACGTCTAAGAATCAGAATGACCCAGATCAAAGGAGTAGGAGTTGAGCCGCAGCTGTAGGTTGAAGAAGACCTAGAGTGGGGAGAACCAGATTTGAGGACCCACGCACGCCTGGGAACACCGCGATGGCCGGGAGGCGCTTTGCTGCTTTTTTCCTCTCGTTCTTTTTTTAAATAATTATACACTTCAGAAATTCGCCCTTGTGGGTTTAGGAAAGGGTTGTCTTCTTTCTGTTTTTCTTTATCAAAAGTCCTAATTCAACCCGCTCCAAACGCACCTGTGCGCCCATGCCGCTGACGTCCACTGCCAGGCCCCGCTCTGCCATCACCATCACCGAGCCCGGCATCTTGTCTGGCCACTCAATTAAGCAAACGTCCTGTTTAAACGCAGCGTCAAAATCAATCAAACCCGCCATCTTGTCGCTCTTCTGACCTAAACGGTAGGGGTCCATGTGGTGAACGCAGCGCGCGCGGCCGGGCGAAGCCACAGCCGGTGCCTCAGCCGCCGCAGGCGACGGTGACGGCTCCGCGACAGCGCCGCCGGCTTCGCCGGGGGCCACCTTGCCCTCATACGCGATATCGTCTTGGTAGCTGAGGCACAGAAGGAAGGTGGGGGAAGGAACTTCCAGAAGCGGATCGCGGACGAAGCCGCGCACGAAGCCGCGGCTGATGGTGCTCTTGCCGGCACCCAAATGCCCGCTCAGCGCTAAGACCGTCCCTGGGAGACTGCAGGATTCCTGCAATGCCCAGCCCAGCGCCTCCATTTCGGCTTCGTTAGCCGCCCAGACGTGGTAACCGGGCGCGTAGCTTTCCGGCAAGGCGTTGCGGATGTGGGCCAGCAGCGGTCCTGCGTCAGCCGCTGACAGTTGTTCGCGTTGACCGGCTGTCGCGGCTGCGTTGACCACGGTGGGAGCTGTTGTTGAAGGAGGGGAGGAGGGATCGTAGACTGGGATGATGTGGAAATGGAGCTGAGGAACTGTTTGACCAGCAGCTGGGCCATTGGATTGGGAGATGCGGATGCCAGCGCAACCCGTGGCGCGCTGGACTGCACGCACGAGCGCCTGTAGGTCTACCATAGTAGCCTGAGCAACAGCGGGAGGCAGGTTATCCATCAGCGTTGCCGCTGGGTGTTTGACGATAAGGAGGGCATGGCCGCGGGCAATCGGGTACTTGTCGAGGGCAGCGAAAGTGTGCTGCGAGTCATAGATGAGAGGTATTTCTAGGCCATCGCTCTGGAGGAGAAGAGAAAACACATTTTTTTCATTGTAGCGATAGTCTGTCATGGGCAGCACCGCCGCCGCATGGCTGGGCTGCGCCATCTTTCGGCGTTTAATGGGTGGTGCAGAAACATCCATAGCTGTTTGTACCGATTGCGCAGTTAAATCTGACTTTCGTAGCCAGTTAAAACTAAAGCGAAACGAGAAGAGGGAACTGAAAAGCAAGCTTATCATAACAAAGAAAACAAGCGCATTAAGCAGCTTCTCATGGATTGAGCAACCCTGCCAGGTGATTATATTCATACAGCTTCATCCGTGTTCGGCGTATAACATAGCAAGTAATGTAAGCACCGTCTGTCGCCTGAGAAATCAGTTGCAAGCAGTACAAGCCGAATTGAGCATCTGCTCTCAATTAAGTTTCCTTTAGCTATATGCGCTAAATACTGGAAAGGAGTGGCAATCTCCCCACTACCACAGAACTCGTCGAACCGTGGGTCAGATAGCTTTATTAACGCAAGGATTAATGTTTAGCTCATCAAATACGTCAATAATGCACTAACAAAATCATGCTGATTTCCTAACCCTTAAAAGGCTGGTGGAAACCGCGTTTGCTTCTCCGCTTCCTCTAACGTTTTGCCCCTTCTTTTCTCCTTTTCGCGTGCCGCTAAAGCCTTGTGAATATCGCTGTGCCGCTTCAAGAGAAAAAGGAAACAAAGACGAAGACGTGCGCGGTCGCTAGCCTTATCCATCACCTTATCATGCAGCTGGGTATGAGAACCTCGCCGCTGTACTGTTCGAGCACTCCGGCCACCTGACCGCCTCGCATGCGATTCACACCAATCACATGCTTTCACGTCCTCTTAGTCACACTCTTCTTCCCCCATCCCTGGGAGACCCGAATTTACCCACCATCCCGCTCCCGACGCGACCACATCCGTACACATCCGGACGCGGCGAATCCTATAACCCAACTATTTTTTAACCCCGCATCCTATACATCTCGATTTGGCAAACATACGTATACGCATCTTCATATATTTCCGAGTCTCCTCCGGCTTCAGGAGTGTTCCTTAAAGCCACGTCCATACCCGTTGCACAGCTCTATACACATACGCACACGCATACACTTTATACACCACCGCGCACATCCGTCATGTCCTACATACATACATACATACATACATACATGCGCGCATACATGAATACAAGAGCACACGTGCCCATAAGGCCTCTGTCCTAGTCTTTCTTTCTCACGTTCGCGTAACACACAAACACACACAGGGGGAAGGAGAGCGGAGTCTTGTTGTGTGTTTCAGGCTCAGTGCGCAAACTCGTGTGACGGAGCCGTGACTCGCAGGTAGACGAACGGCCCCGACCAAAGGAGATGACCCCTGTGCGAGCACCCCGGGGTGATAGGTTGTGCGTTTCGCTCGTGGCGGTTCCCGGCACAGCGTCGAGAAACAACACAGACACACAGACATACGGATACACACAGAGAGACACACAGAGAGACACATACACACACACAACGCAACAAGATGTCCCGTGAATAAGAAAAATGACACACAGGTTCCAGACAACCCCATGCATACATACCTACATACATACACGTGCACTTTCCACAGTGCTCCCACGCCCTGCTTCCGCAGGGAGGGCGGGCGACTCCTGTTAGGGCTACAGCCATCGTTCCAGACTCGCCCTGCAAGCGCTTCCGCCGCTACAGCTACAGCTGTAGCGAGACATGCAACACATCCCACCCCCCCGCACACACCAACATTAACCGCAGCACGAGTAACAACGGCACAGCAAACGCGCGGACGTTTGTGCAAGCCGACAGACTCTCTCTCTACCATTGCTACTGCCGCCACCGTCACCACCACCGTTGAGGGTTATACGGCTGTCACCGCCCCCCTGTCACTGCTACTGTAATTTGCTACTGCCGTTGTGTACTTGACCGTTACGGAAACCGCCAACAAAAGACCCCCAACCCAGGCGCTACAGCCCAACAGGCTACAGCCGCTACTGCGTGTGGATCTTGACAACCTCTTCCGTGACGGGGTCCTTGGCGGCGGCGGTGGATGATGGCGACGGCGGTGGCGGCGGCGGTGGTGGTCGTACCGTCGATGAAGACGAGGTCGACGTCGTCGTCGCCGCCGCCACGGCGCCCTTCTCCTCGACAGCTTTGCGGTTCTTGTCCGCCACTGCCATGAGCTCGTCCACTTTGATGGGGACGGACGGATCGGCGGTGGCGGCGCCCAGCTTCTGGAAGAGCAGCTCTAGGTCGGCCGGATCTGCAACACATCAACAGCACCGAATAACATGACATCAACAGCACCAGTAAGAACAACAGCAGTAGCAGCAGCAGCAGTAGCTGCAGTAGCACAAGCGATGGTCACTAGTGCATAAAGCCTATCCTTTCCTTCTCCCACTCCCACACCCCCACTCCCACCTACCAAGCTGTGTCTTCAAAAAGCTGATGGCTGCCTCCAGCTCCTGTCGAGATATCAGGCCGTCGCGGTCCGTATCCAGCAGCTGCAGCTTGTCACCGATCTTAGACTCCACCTTGTCCAGCTCCTGCTCGATGGAGTGAAGCAACTTGGTGACCCGCGCGCCCAGGCGCTTGGAGGCGGAGGAGGGGCCGGCGTGGAGTGCGGAGTCGGAGTCGGAGTCGGAGGTGGAGGCGGTGGAGGAGGAGGAGGGGGGAAAGATGGGAGGGGTGGGGGTGCCCGTGGCGACTTGCAAACCCGCGGAACTGAAGGCCATGGAGCTGGCACCGCCTGTGCACACGCGCGTGCGCATGTATGGGTTGCAGGGGGTTGAGGGGTAGGGTGTTTGGGACGGGGAAGGGGGAGAGAAAGGGGGAGGGGGAGAGTTATGCGCAGAAGGAGATCAACTTCAACTGCTAACAACGTATCTGGGTGAGAAGTGGAGAGGTGGGAGAAAAAGGGGCTGCTCCCCAACAGATGGGTACGGAATCCCCAGGTCGAGGGCCTTATGGCAACGAAAGCAAAGACACACAAACCCTCTCTCACACATACACACACAACATACACACACAGCTGCACCGTAAACCCCCAAAAACCCTTGCTCGTTCCTCCCCCTAACCCGCGTCCCCCCGGCGCCCCCATCATCGTTCGCACACCCGTTGCGTCTATGTCTGTATCAGTGTCTGGCCCTCCCTCCCTCCCTCCCTTCCCCCCTCCC